GGAACAGTTAGCTTTTAAGTTTGACAAAGAGATGAGAGTTACTGGACCGCATTCACAGCTAAACCAAGCTTTTATTAGAATGTACCTGTATTTATAACCCGATCTTGTTACTTTTATACTGTTAAYGACATACTACCAGGTTTTCCCGCAGCACATTGTAAGCCTGCAGGCCACCAGGCTTTACATGCCTSCCCACCAGGCTTTGACACTGAGCGTGACAGCACYGACACATTTTGTCACATTTTTTTAAATGCCGTACGTTTTCATCTAACGGTTCCTGAAAGCCAGGAATCTGGGCTTTTCCCTGGTACATGGGTTTTTACAATAATATCACGTGACCAGCTGCAGTAAGCCGGGAAAATAACCTTGTTGTTTATACTCCTCTAAAGACGCTCGGTTTAGAGTGCAGTGTAAATACGAGCAACAGCGTGTTTTTATCAGAGTGGAGAGGAAATATTTAGTTAGAATAATGTCTGGAAGATATTCTTCAAGGGTTCCAGGATGATTTTGAGACCCAAGAAGATGTTGGAGGAACCAGCTTCTTGGGAATAAAGGTAACGTTAGTTTGACAAAGTTTCTGAGTGCATCATTCTTGTGAATGAAGCCAGTTTTGCCTTTTATATTTTATTTTATGAATATTTGGATAGTTGTTTGTGTGTTTATTTTTATAACAGTGTAAAAAGTAAGTTACTTTGTACAATATATGCATATTTAGAGTTAGTATGTGTAAATACTGTGCGCATTTATATCTTTGGGGCGGCTGTGGTAGAGTGGTTAGGGGAGTCGTCCTGGAACCGGAGGGTCGCCGGTTCAATCCCCGTCCAGTTCACTCAGTCGTTGTGTCCTTGGGCAAGACACCTTACCCACCTTGCCTACTGATGGTGGTCAGAGGGTCCGGTGGCACCTGTGTATGGCAGCCTCGCCTCTGTCAGTGTGCCCCAGGGCAGCTGTGGCTGCAACTGTAGTTTGCCATCATCAGTGTGTGAATGTGTGTGTGCATGGGTGAATGTCTGTAGTGTGAAGCGCTTTGAGTGTCCTGAATGGATAGAAAGGTGCTATATAAGTACAGTCCAATTACCATCTTCAAAACGCAATGGTTTTTTTTGTTTTGTTTTTTTCTACCAACCTGCTGATGTTTATTCAGTAAACCCTGCCTTGTTTCTACTAAATATTGTGTGTGTGACTAGCTGAATATTTACTGCTACTTTCTTTTTATCTTGTAATGAGGACCAGGCGTCTTCAAGATTGGGAGGAGGGAGAGACTGAAGCAGAGGCGGAGGTGGAGGCAGAGGCCAGAGAGAGCAGCAGTGAAGATGCTGAAGATGATGTGGATGYTGTGAGAGACAGAAGCTGCTCACCAAATCTTCTCAGATGGGAGAACTGAAGTGGAGTATTATAATGTAGTGCCTAATGTGATGTAGGACTGTGTCTGCAGCTTGATAGGAACTGCTTTGTGGGGAAAGGGGAAAAAAAACCCACCATGTATATGGTCTCCAGGCCTCCCTTGAAAAAGAGATCTGAGATCTCAACGGGACTTGCCTGGTTAAATAAAGGTAAATATAATAAATTGTAAATMGCTCTTTGACTGACTTCAGTTTGGAGGAATAGTTTAATTCGGACAGAACAAGCTATCAACGCTAGGAGCAACGCTCATAAAATAACTGATCTCAACAAATTTATATCGGTTCATGTGAATGCAGTTTTCTAAGGTCAATTTCACATTCCAGTTATTGGCAAAGACTTTGCAGTTTTTTTAAACAAGTTATAACAATATCTGGTAGCTGAAGCATTTCCTGTGGAGCCTGGGATACTTCCTGCAGGAACAATGTAATTTTTCTGCCAAAGTAACCATACATTTTTAGTATGAATATTTTTAGCTACGAATTTTTAGATGGTATAAAGCAGGGCTGAGCAAATACATTTATATTTTTTAACTAAATGTCCACTTACAGAACTGGGTCTGTTGCAGAGAGCCAACAGGTGAAACTCAATTCAGCCAAATAACAATTTCATAATTAATTTTATCACAAAACTCAACTCAACACTAAAATCTTGTTTAAAAGGCCTTGTTGCTTTTTGGACAGCTGAGCTTGTRATATAAGCATAAAACATAAGCATAAAGATGGGAGACGGCAGTGACCCACATTAATCTTGGCCCCACTCAGATTCAAACACTGTTTCTCCAAAGTGAAGTTTTACAAAAAGCTACCTTTAACAGGTAAGATATTAACTGTTCAACTTTTCATAAAAACATTTAAACAAAACGTAACCGTTGCTTTAATATTTTATAACGCTTTTGTTTTGTAGCATCACTTAAATTATATTTTCTGTGACATGCGACGTCAGAACAGACTCAACGTGTTTTTACCAACGAAGGACTCTGATATTAATATTTGCTGTTTAAGAAACACACAGATACACTTTTGAGCTGCCTGTGTTTAGTTGGTATAAACCAACAAATGGGAACAAATGATGACTCAACGAGAATGTTTGTTTTGCAACAATACTGCACCACTTCTATTTGAACAGGGCTCGTATTTATCACAGTGTTATCTCCCAGCATTTATTATCACAACCGCTTACCTTTTCCCCCTCAGCCCTTTACAAATTTCCCTCTGTACTCTCGGGGCCACACAACAAGTGTCTCTTTCTTCCAGGCACCAACAAAGAGGGGCATTCATGAAGCCAAGCAAGAGAGAGACAGACACACAGAGAGAGAGAGAGAGACAGAGAGAGAGAGAGAGAGAGAGA